ACAAGTACAAGCCTCTCATTCAGTCTGCTACGATATCAGTCACATACACACACACACACACACACACACACACACACACACACACACACACACACACACACACACACACACACACACACACACACACACACACACACACACATATGTATAGCCTCTCATTCAGTCTGCTACGATTTCAGTCACATACACACACGCGCGCGCGCGCACAAACACACACACACACACATATATGTATAGCCTCTCATTCAGTCTAGTATTAGTTCACACACACACACACACACACACAAACATATGTATATCCTCTCATTTCGTCTAGTATTAGTTCACACACACACACACACACACACACACACACACACACACACACACACACACACACTTATGCCCTCCCATACAGTCTAGTATTAGTGCACACACACATTAGACATATTCAATTTTAGTTTTGTGATTGTGTGTGACTGTTTTTACTGTGATGTGTGCATGTCATAGTAGTGTGTTTGAGAGGAAAACATAGTTTTTTTGAGAGTGTGTGAGTGTTTCTACTGTGATGTGCGCATGTCATAGTAATGTGTTTGAGAGGAAAACATATTTTTGTTGAGTGTGTGTGTCTACTGATGTGTGTGCATGGTTTTATTGGTGTACGTGAGAGGAAAAATAGTTTCTGTCCTAAACGGCCCCTCATAGCTGTGTACTGGACTAAATTCTTTAAAAATGGGACAAGGCAGTAGTAAGAAGGAAATGCCAGGTGATGTTAGATGGATGGTGGAATGTTGTGGTGGTGACCCAGAAAGTGGATAGAGAAGGAGGACTGGGATGGAAAGTTGAGAGTTGAGCCGCTGACAAAGATTCAGCAGAAGGTGGAGATGAAGTTGGTGTATAAATCAAAAAGAAAACAAGCTAAATACAGAAAAGAATTAGAAGAGTTAAATAAGTGGATTATGCAAGCAAAAAATAGGGAAAGCCAAATACAACAGAAGAAGGATAGAAAGACAGCTACAATTGCTGCTGTAAAAGTTAAAGCTGATGAAGAAACTGTTGTATCCCGAATGCTTCCTCAATATCCTGACCCTAATCAAATTCAAGGGGGTGATGGGGTTCAAGCAGTGGCATCAGCTGCGCAGGAAGGTGGAGATAAACCCCATCACGGTGAATGTGAACACAGCCATGCCACTGTTCCTCCTCCAGTAGCCCCACCATCGTGTGGTGATATTGGAGGAGCAGGAGCAGGCCCCCTGTCCGTGTCGTCCTCTGTGGATGGTATGGAACTCAGTGCCTCTGACTCTTGTGAGCATGAGTTGGGAGGATCAGGGGGGGATGTGAAGCTTGATTCGAAGTGTTACAGGGATCATTATCAAGTGGAGGCTTGTGGAAGGGGCCCATCTGCCCCTATTTATCCAAGATTGGCTGAATTAAAAAAACAAGAACAGGACCAAGATCCTGGGAGGGGGGCATGTGCTTTTCCGGTTTTGGAGGTGGCCAACCCTCATTGTGGTCAACGCACGGGACCCCAAGATGGTGACCCACTGGATTGTGGACCCACTGTTCTTGTGTGTGGGCCATGGACAGATGCAGAGATGCGGACTGCCTGTCGAGGTTTACCTCCAGCCAGACAGAACCCAGTTAAATGGTTCGAGGATGTTAAAAATAGATTGAGAAAATTCATGGCAGAAACAGGAAAGCCATGGGCAGAAAACGAACAAGATGACATTGACCCGCTAACTAAGTGGATGCTGAAGCTTTTCAGCGACAAAACTGTTCGGAAAACATGTAATCTGCCTAGTGCTCCTTTTGTTTCCCCACAGGAAGGCCTGAAGCCTGGAGACCGAGTGCTGATTAAAATCATCAAAAGGAAAACTTGGAAAGCTCCGAGGTGGGAAGGACCCTACATAGTGCAACTAACAACCCCCACCACTGTGAAGATCCAGGAGAGAAACACTTGGATCCACCAGAGTCATTGTAAACTGATTAAAAACTTTCCACAGCAAGAAGCCCAGTTACTTTCACAGGGACCCAACGACTAAGGTATAGATCTGTGGTGAAGTCCAGCTTCAAAGGGGTTTGGTTTTTTTAGGACCACTCGTCTCAACGCTGGTGAAAAAAACAACCTAACCCAGTCTTTTAGAGTCCGGTTAGTGGGTGTTTCCTTGGACGGACTGGCAAAGATCTGAAAAACCAAAGTGGTTATGCTGCCCGGTGATGACTGTTGGACCGGTGTTCCTAGGAACTCAAACTGACTGTCTGAAACAAAGGAAGAGCAGGATGATTTTTGATGGATCCACAGCAAGTCATCCTACAGTGCCAAGATGTGGTGGCAACATGCAAAACATGTTGCTGAAGATTTGAACAAAACAGACTGTTATGTTTGTACTCATATTCCTACTCCTATTAATAAAATATGAATTGAAAGATGCTGATGTTTTTATGTATAAGAGGAGGGAAATGTTAGAGTGATAACTATCCTGTGTTTCAACCAGAAGGGTCATAAACTTTTATGACCTCCTGTAGGTCATGAGGCAGAATCACACGGATGTGTGACTTCCATCCAGCCAGTTGGTCAATTCACACCATCTTGTTACCTGCATCCTCTCAGACAATCATTATTGGGTCTTCTGTTTTAGGCCCGCCTGTTTGATGTTGTAAACTGTTAATAAAAGGCTTTGCCATGAAGGGATCTGTGGGAGAAGGTGATGGCTTTCCAAGCCAACATTCTTCTCTCCACCCGGCACACGCTGACGTCACAAAATCCCGTCTCTGTGTTGATCATTTTCCTTTTAATCTTTTAAACTCACATTTCTCTGGATTAAAAACCCAACAATATGTTTGGGCTCTGGCTGTTAAATTTGTTGGTCTGTTAATTAAAATTTCTGTGCAGTCAATAATGCACCTGCAACACTGGTATTTAGGTTTGAAACATTTTGGCATATTCTTTAAAATAGCATGCTTACTTGGCCACTTGATTAAAGGTTTCAAAATCTGAGACATAATAGGCAGCCAACGTCTTAAGATTTTAGAGATGTCACATTCGTTAACATTAAAAATGAATGCAATATCCTTGTTGGTGAGTCCTAATCTGAGTTTCATGAGTACAGCCAAAAGATGATCCTCTAGGGTCAGAGAGCCACGGCTGACCTCAACACTGTCCTTAATTGTCTGCAGGACCCAATTAAAGAGGGCACTGGTTAGACCTGTGAAAAACAGCACCTGTGCTGCTTTACACTTCAGTGACGCAAAAGAGAACTGTGCAGTCCCGAGCATTTCTTTTAATTGTTCATTCTGTTTTCAGTTTGTTAAAGTCCTCACGCAGGTTATCACACTCTGTATGAAGTTGGCTGTACTTCAGCTGGAGGTCATCATGGACAGTCTTTGGGACCATACCTTCTGAAAATTAAATAAAAATTTTACATTCTTATCTTTACAAAAAACAAATGGTTACATTCTGGGTGATCAGTCACACTGTGGGCAAATACCTGTTTGCAACAAATATAAACATTACTAACTGATTAATCCCACTAATACGGAAGAGGATAAGGGCCACTGGAAAAAAAAAAGAAAAGTTAACTGTTTTTGTTTATTTTATTTCAGTATAGTATGGGAAAAAAGTCAGAATTCTGAGAAAAAAGTCAGAATTCTGAGAAAAAAGTCAGAATTCTGACTTTAATCTCAGAATTCTGACTTTGTTCCCATGTTAAACTGAAATAAAATTTAAAAATCAGTTTACTTTTTTTTTTTTCAGTGGCCCTAAACCTCTTCCGTACACTAGTGACTATTCTATTCTGCAATAATATGTTAACATTTAGGAACACACAGATCTACGTCCCTTTATAAAAATCCAAATGAGTTTGCAGGCCGTCTTGGTCAGGATAGTAATAAGGTTTCATACCATTATATAGATCAGCACCAGCCTCTATTCCACACTCAGTTGGAGAGATGGAAGAGGGTGTACACTGATGTCCATCTTCTGGACACCTGCTGGGGGTTGCATCCCTTCTTCTTTTTCTCTTATATCTGAAACACACAGGAGAGAACAATCATTTAGTGCAAAAAAACCCCAAAAAACAAAAAAACAAAACAGTTCCACAGGTGTTATCTCCTAAATTCAAGTCCATACAAATCACATGCTCAGTCATCCCAACTCTCCATATGAGATGTCTAATAAAAACTACATGCTCTGACCTTTAACCCGGGTAACCTATATAGCTACAATATATCAATATTTTTTCTTTGCACTTCCAGTCATACTATGTGGAGTCATGCTTGTAATCAGACAACAATCAAGCACACAGATGTGATACTTACCGCTCCAGTTTTGCAACACCATCTTTGCCGGGCTGGATTGAGTATGGAAAGATAGACGGGACAAAGTCTGGGCTGTCGATGTCGTCTGATGCCTCTCCTGTACAAATAATGTATTGACGCAATCATCATCATCATCAACCTTTATTACAGACACTAGTCAATCAATTGAAAATACAGCACACACAGAGAAGTTTAGACCAGACAACGTGATGATGTTAATGATAAAACTTATGGCTGACCCGATGAGTTGCAACTTGATAAGACTGAATCAAGGTACATTGGCTTGTATGCTAGTTATGCTCCAATGTGTTTTGTAAGATTCATTAATCCCGTTTATATATGTAATACTTAATAAATGTATGTAAAACCATTGTTTGTTTGTAAAACCAGCGATGCTGTTTAGCTTTTTTATAGATAAGACTTACCTGATATAAAGTGATCGCTGCAGATTGATGCATTTTTAATCATCTGCTCGTTCCAATCGCTTCTTCTGATGGCTTGCAACCAAAGACGTCTCTTGTTTGCCTTAAAAGGGGTGCGAGTTGATGGGATTCGGTAAAACTTGCGCGTTTTATTGTTTTTATCAAAACGGTTCATGCAACCGACAGCACAACAAGACATGTTAGCAGCTCTTTCTGCAGGCGACATGCGCATTGGGGCCGGAAGTGACGTAGAGTGACGTTGCCTGATAATCCCTCTATAGACACAAGGAGACATGCTTGAGACATAGTGTAGGATGCAGGACTATAAAAAAAAATGGACCCAATTAAGAACACGATTACAGAAAGTGGTGCATTTTGGTAGTGGACTTGGTCGTGTCATAATAATTGCCCTTTTAATACTGGTAGTTATTTCTGGTAGGAATTCTCGTTTATTCTTCAACCGGACGAAAACCCGACTGCTCCTCCTGAATCCGAGATTCGACTATCTGACGGACCCTCTTTTCCAGAACCCAGGAATAGCCCCACCTCCAGGCCTGGCTCCAGAGTGGGGCCCCGGTGACCCACGTCCGGGTGAGGGAACACTACGTCCATTTATTTTACTTGTCATAAGGGGTCTTTGGGCTGCTCTTTGTCTGGTCCCTCACCTAGAACCTGTCTGCCTGGGGTGATCCTACTAAGGGGTATAAATTTGTGCAGAATTAGGTTTTCTTGTGCCGCTTTCTGCCTCAACACTCTTATGCTGGTCAGGCAAACACTAGGAGAGAAAATCTCTTAATAATCTGTTTCCTTCTTTGGACAATCCTTTTGCCACATACCTAGCTTGGATTTGTCACTTCCATCTGCATTCCTTTTCACTGCATAAACCCACTTTCTTCTTACTGCTCGCTTGCCCTCAGGGAAAGTTGTAAGCGTAAATGTATTGCTCTCTCTAAGCGATAATATTACTCCATCCATCGCACTTTTCCATTCTTTAGAACTAGCAGTCCCAGAGAATTTCAGTTTTCCTGCAAGCCCCCCTCCCCTCTACAAGTTTGTGTATTTGCTCTACCTTGCTAACTGTCCCTGTTGTAATGCAAATAACCTGTGATATGACCAGCCTTTATACACGAGACTGGATAAAGGCTGAAACACACTGCCATCAGAACAAGAGCATGCTCCAAACACTTTTCATTACCTACCACTGCCGCATCAGACCTTTTTACAGGAATATCTTGATAAGTCATATCTAAATATTTTATTTAGGAAAACCTATTGAACAACCAGATATTATACGGGTCATAGTTCCTGGGCTGAGAACAGGTCATAACCATGCTTTTCCAACAAGGCAAGGCAGAGCCTATTTATATTGTCCATTCACCAAAAGACTTATTTATATTGCCAAGTTCACTATGTGAAAGAAAGAACAACTCAGAGAATAATTGTATTTTGTCTTCTCTCTCCTTTTCATGTCATTCAACATTTCAGATTAGAATATGACAAACAGTATGATTTCAGTATTGGAGTAACATTTATTTCACCCAAGGAAAAGCACTACATATGAAATGACAATTGTCCCATTTAGCAGTTTCCACAAACTCAAGTTAAGTCCTTCTGGTATTTGTGACATACCAGAAGGACTTTGTGCATCGCACACAATGCTCAGTGCTGTGGTTCCTGTTGCAGAGATTGCGCACCTGGGCTGCTTATAATAACGATGAAAAATTATCAAAAAATATAGTTTAGCACATATTCTGAAAGTAAGAGTTGCAGTATGATCCAGATAAAGCTATTAATGTATGCTACAAGTTTGGTAGCACTACAATTATCTTTAGTGTAATTATTGGCTATATGCTTAAAATAACAATGAAAAAAATCTAAAACAAATAGAGTTTAGCACATTTTCCCAAAGTAAGTTGTAGTCTGAACTAGATGAGGTTATATATATGTGTGAAAAGTTTGGTGGCACTACAATGATCTAAAGTGTAATTATTGGCATAATATGCTTATCATAACAATGAAAAATTCTCTAAAAATACAGTTTAGCCTATCTTCCCAAAGTAAGAGTGGTAGTATGATCCAGATGAGGCTATCTATGTGTCCTACAAGTTTGGTAGCACTACAATGATCTATAGTGTAGTCATTGCTCATTTTATACTTATTCTAATAATAAAATAGAGGTGCCATTTGTCATTTAGGCTTTGGGAAATTCCTCAAAAAAGTATTATTTTCGAATCCACTAAATGTGGTATGAAATATATGAGATGAGATACAAATAAAATGAATTTGATAATAATCCACCTCTCCTTGGTGACGCTTTTAAATATTTCTCTCTGATTATTTTGCAACTTGCAGACGGTCCCTAAGCGAGCTCTGCATATGCTCCAATGTAATTGCCCCAGCGCGATAGGAGACTCGTTTTGAGGAAACCAGGGTTGTAGCTCACTGTATGCCTTGCTGTGGTTGCGGAGAGGTGTCTTTTTTGTAGAATAAATCATCCGTCGACAAGTTATTAATCCGGAAAAGCTAAATCTGTGAATATATTGCCAACTTCATTGCAGTCTCACGATTCTGTCTGCACGGCTGCAGCTGAAGAGTGAGGAAAGATCGCTTGAGTTATATTTGCCCCCTAGTAAATAGTGCAGATGTTCATTATTGTATAAATATTTTTGCTTTCCCTCTCTACGGCGTTCCAGCTCATGCAGCTATTTTCATTGTACAGATCAGTTATCTTCTGATTGTGGCTCCGCTGAAATCATTGTGGTGTTTGCGACACTGATGATGTAGACCTAGTTATATTTAATTACAAATATATTTCCCCCCCCCCTGCTCTCAGGTAAAACACTCATCAACAGAGAGACTTGAGCTAAAATCGAAACTGAAGGGGGTGGAATAGTTCTCCCACCACAGCGCTAATGGGGCATTTACATCTGACATTCATGAGCTGTGAAGTGCTGTTGAGGGGACTGGAGGCTGACATAAATTCTCATATCTCTGAGATTTCTAGTGTTAGAGCTGTGAGAATGTACTGCTTTTTCAAATGTTAAGTTACATTACATAGAAGCCTGTAACAATATTTAATATGTGTCACTGCTTGATCGTTGATTTATTTTCTCGTTACATAGTCATTCAGGTAACTTGGCTTTTTCCTCAGCCTGGAAGGGTAGCACAGGTATGGATGGGTGACCGGAGAGCAGACGGCGCCGACCTGGTCTGTGTTAGGAATCCAGTTTGTGTGGTCAGTTTGTGTGTTTTCTTTTTCTCCACCACCAGGAGGTGCCCTGTCTTCGTTTGGCATCCCTGCAACCCTGCGGCTCATTGGACCATTATCTGGAGGAGTATTTGAGCAGTGGGCTGTCACTACCTCGACGCCAGAGTGTTTGCCAGTTTTGGGTACTCTAGCCAAGCTGAGATTAGCTGAGTCTAACCTAAGCATTGTTTCTCTGAGACCTACTGTTTAACTTGATACCTGGACCTTCTCCCCCTGGAAGGAAAAGCCAAGTTCTCACTGAGCAGGGGAAAACCTCCATATGATCCGTTCAAGTTCCCATTGGAAATCTTAGTGACAGTCCGCTCCGTTACTCCTCCGGGTCCAATGTTTGTCTACCTGTTCACTATTATCTGGATGATCCCACACAGATTGGATTCAAGGACTGACAAGGCCCCCCCTTAAACGTGAGTCCCTCTCCAGCATTATCTAACAACATCCAAGATTCCCACAGTACCTGAACTGACCTCTGAACTTCCCTTCTCACTTCCAGTTCCGGTTCACCAGCTCACTGAGTTCCACATCCAACCCTGTACCCGTACCTTAATAAACCTGTTAAACTTTTCCCGTGTTCTTTGAGTGCTATCTCTACATGTGGGTCAGATTCGTAAAACCGATCATGACTGTGTGCTTCAGATTCGGACAACTCCTTAATTTGCATTTGAAATCGGTGAAAGTAATTTTATCCTCACTTTGTGTAACGTGAATGATAAATGGTTTGAATGCAAATATGCACTAACGAGGCACTAAAAAAAGCACAACACTTTGGTTCAATTTGGAGTTTAATGGGGGGAATGGTGACCTCTGGATGACCTAAAAAATAATCTTTAATATCTCTTAAGCAAAATTAACACAAACAATATCTTTTCCGTACAAATCTGCACAAACGTAACACTAACCATTCAGTCTATCTTCAGAGTTTTTTGACGTAGTAGGTTGGGTGTCAGCTTCATGCTGCTGCAGAGAGCGTCTTTCTATGGAAGCGTATTGCATTAACCAAAGAAAAAAAAAATCTGACAACTTATCCTATACCTTTTCTCATAATTCATATCTAATCTCATAATTATGAGATCCTGATTTCTATATTATGAGATCCTATCTCATAACTACGAGATAAGATGTCATACTTATTAGATCATTTGTCATATTTAGGAGATCAGGGGTTGTCAGATTTAATATGATTTTATTTCCTTTTAGGTGCGCGACACTGGGAAATTAGCCTTGTCAATGTGGATAAAATTGGCTTTAGTTTGTCAGCATTGATCAGTAAGTCCTTAGAATTGTTCAGACCAAAAAGCCCACTGTGACTTGCTGGAAGTCGCACTGTTCCTGTAGGAGCAATTAAACTGGCACTGAATGCTTTATGGTTATAAATTGATGCATCTGAAAGTCATTCAAGCTGGCATGGTGGTGTATCAAAGAACTGTCCGCCGTTACCTTCTCAAAATTCTAGATCCGCAAGGAGAACAGCTGAGGCTTCAGAATAGCTTAAAACGACCATGTCTGACCCTCATGCAGAATGTTGATTCATATGTAAAACTAAAACAATATGGAATATGTATTAATGGAACTGTTGACGGATGTTGGTGTATGGTCATATGGCTGCATGCTTACTCCACAAGTAGTAATCCCATGGTTATACCTGGGTACTTTATTGATGAAGTGGGTACAGAGAGTTGTCCAGTGGAACAGATGCAGACATTCATGAAGCAGTAATCATGAAGACCAGTTTTCTGATAGATGATTTATTACTGGCTCAAGTAATCATAACCAAATATATAGCTAAGATCTCATAATTAGGAGATCTTTTCTCATAAGTACGAGATATGTTCTCATAATTACGACATCAGTATCTCGTAATTATGAGATACTGAGCTCGAATTATGAGATAAGCTAAGCTGTGTGATTTTTTTTTCTTCTTTGAATGCAATGCGCATCCGTACCTTTCCACTTTAAATCCAGATTGCAAATGAAATGTGCATGTGCAAAGCTGCTTCCAATTTGAAATTTTGATTTTCAAAGTATTCCACTGAGTGACTTATAAAGGGTTAACAGATGTCTCACATACAATAAAATAACTGCATTTTCACTCCACAGCCTCCCTCTCTCCCCCTCTGCTCCTCATGTCTGCCTGTCTTTGCACTACTCCTTTTTTATTGTTCCCGATGGCAAACACTGAATGTTGGATTTATTCCAATTGATATGGTGTGTGGATCCAAATGGCTTAATTGTATGTATTTTAAACTTGACATGCTTCTGTAAACGTTTATATAAAACACTTAATATATTTGCAAGTTTTTCCTTCAAGCTATCCTCATATCTATGCACACTGCTTTGACAGAAAGCCCAAAATAACAAAACAATCGGAGCTCCTGCAGCTGTATGACCTGAAATATGCATATTAGGCGATGATGTTGGTCATGCTGGACTTAATAACTCTCTTTTCAGAACAGGGAAACATGACACAGGGACTTGTTATCACTGTAATCAGATAGAAACAGTGGAACATGTATTAATGGAATGTAATAAGTATTCACAAGAACATCAGCATTTAAAGTCATCACTAAATAGAGAAAAAATTGGATTTTCAATGATAAACCTAGGAAATACATCTAATTCTGCTGGAAATCAGTTAATAAGATTTTTAAAAAACACTGGATTATTTCATCGTATTTAAATAAAGAATATAAGTGTGTATATGCATGCATGTACGTTTGTATAGATTTTGATTGATAGATAATATGCAGGTTCGTTCAGCCCATTGAGGTATGAATTAATAACTTCCCTCTGAAATCATTGATAGCCACACTCCAGTCTGGTAGGTGGTGGTAAATGCAACTTAAGGTGGTTGGCAACCGCCAATAAGAAAAACATAAGAAGAAGAAGAAAAAATAAAAAGAAGGCGATGACGTCCTCTAGCGCCTTTTGGGACAGCCAATAGCGAATTTTGTTACTGAGGGGTTGGCATCACTGTGCGGATGGGAGCTGTATAGGAAATACTCTGCTTCAAGTCAAACAAGAGGAGTTTAATTTTGCTATCTTTGGGACTCTAAACAATCATCTCAAACAGTCCGGATGGCGGCTGTCAGCAGTGTGAGCAGAATGTCTGGACTTTGTTTTCATGCTGTTCGTCAAAGGGCAGCACTGAATTCACTGAGGCTGCTGCAGCGCAGGTCCTTTAGACTCACTGTAAGTTTTAACTGCATCACTTGAAACCGAATTGAAGTATAAAGTCGTTTTAGTCATTTGTTTCCCGCAGAGGTTACTGGAGGAGGACTGGGTCAGGAATCAACAGTGACGTTTTATTTGTCTGGAGTTCTCGCGATAACCCGGGTAGCTCTTAGCGTCGCCTCTGAGACATGCATATTTATTTCTATAAAGTAGACATGTGACGACTGATTACATTTAAAAATGTGTTTATGTATTAAAAAGACGTCATTTTTGAGAGCTATGTTGCATTTCTTTTTTGCTTCTTCAAGCTAGCTGTTGAGTTAGCCGACCAGCTAAAGTTTTGGCTAGCTTCCTTGCTATTGGTCAAACAAAGGGGCGTAAGGACTTAAACCAGAATGCTTACCAGCAATTTCAGAAAACCTTCAGGGTGTGACAGGGCCACATTCAAGTACTAATGCACTTTATGAACTTTATTTAATTAACTTTGAGGTGCTTGTGTGCTACTCATTTAAACAGCATAGTAATTTATCGCAGGAAAGTAATCAAAAAGTACTTATTGGCTCTCCTATCAGAGGATAAGATTTACTTACTGCTTCTTCAATTTCATATTTAAAAGTTCAGTTTAGATCTATTCAAAATTCATAAATGATCATTGTGTTACTATTTTATTCCAGGCTTTTTGTCTTTGCACTTTTAATGGTTACAGTTGTTGTAAAAATTATGTTGCTTAAGACAGGTTATTGTACATGCATATTTAGATTTCACAGCAGTGTGTGTATGCATCCTGTAGGATATTCTCTCAATGGGTTTGTATTCCACAACTTTCTGCACGAGTGGAATAGAGAGAAGCAGCCTTCAGGTGTGCTGAGGTTTAGATTGACTCTTGTGTCTCTTCCTTCTTTTGCTTCAGAGAATCTACAAATGTTTTACAGCAGAAGTGCCCAACTATAGTTCTTTAGAGATACTATCCTGACATTTTTAGATGCACCCTTTGCCCATTATTTTAAACTGAATGACTGAATTCTGTCATCATTATGATATCAGCGTGTGCTCTTTTTTTAATCTCACAGAACAGTGTTAAATGTAATAATTGTTAGTTTTACTCAATATGACGAGCTTGTAATTTATGTGTTCAGTGAGCAATAGTTCAAAGTTCCTCTACATAAATCTTGAAATCTTAACTTTTTCTTTCTATAGCTGTATTAATAAATTCACCTTTCAGGTCTTCCTAATCAAGCTTGCATGTAAGATATGCAGGAAAAGACTTGCAACCAAATACAGAGAACAAATCTACTTGGGCAAAAAAAAAAAAAAAAAAACATTTAGTAGAAGTGTATTTAATTATATCCTGCTTTTTGAACCAGCTATTATTGATAGCACAGCATTGTTGTGTTATATTGCAGTGTTTTCGTATAGTTATGGTTCATATTTCAGCAGTTAAGCATGCATCAGTTGGGAAGATCAGAGAATGGCTTTGATTTGGGAAAGAAAACTTTGGAGAGGTCTGTTTTGTTTTAAATTGACATGTGGCGCCACCTTGAGGGCAACAGCTAACCTTGAACATTGTGAAATATGATGGAATGTGCAGTTTGTTGATTGTACTGTGAGATGTTGACCTCCTTCAGGAAGGGGGGGCTAGGGCTCTGTTCATTTGGATTAATAAGCTCAACCGATCTATCAAATCTGGATGCTTTATGAAACTTTTTTTTTTTTTTCAAAGTAAGAGTCTGAATGGTCGTTTTCTTAGTTTTGATTTATTGGTTTATTTATTCACCAGTCAAAAATGCACTGAAATGCTTAGGATGTGTAAAACCATTTGACTTGCTTATTTAAAAGTATTGATAACCTACATCAAAAAAGTCATGTAATGCAACAGCAGTGAATAAAAGTGTTACAAGTGTAGCTCAGTTCTTCAGTGTTATTGGTGAGAGTTGAGTAGTCTGACATCTTGTGGATAATAATGATAATAATATACTTGCTCTAATGCCTTCAGGCCATGCACCAGCAGCAGCCCTTTGACTCTTCTCTGGAAAAGCCACAGTTTCCTGGAGCCTCAGCAGAGTTTGTGGACCATCTTGAATTCATTCAGCCCAATGTTATTTCTGGGATCCCAGTGTACAGAGTGATGGACCGGCAAGGCAAGATAATCAACCCCTCAGAAGACCCTCAGGTAAAGCCGGCCTACCAATATTAGTCTTTATTAGAGCCTTCCTGAGGCGCCCTTTTTTTTCAAACTATGTTTTTTTTTGGTTATGTTTTTTTTCCTGTTTAGCTCTCCAAGGAAACAGTTTTAAACTTCTATCAGAAGATGACGCTGCTGAACACAATGGACCGGATTCTCTACGAGTCTCAGCGACAGGTTTGGTTTTCAGTTTATGCTCCATGGTTTAATTTCAGAATGGATGAAATACGATGTAAATAGAGGTGATTGTTTGTTTCAGGGCCGAATCTCCTTCTACATGACCAATTATGGAGAAGAGGGCACACACATTGGCAGCGCTGCAGCTCTGGAGTCTAACGATATAGTGTTTGGTCAATACAGAGAAGCTGGTAAGGTTCGGCCTTTGTTTATGGCTGGTGAAGGTTTTCTCATAGTGCTTTAGTATTTGGTCTCTAACCTTTCCAACAGCAGGTGAAAGAACATTCTACGATTATCAGCTCTTATTTAATCTGTCTGCTAATTGCCTGTAATGTTTATGTATGGTTACATGGGACAGATTTGTGACCGTATAAGTTGGAAAAAAGGAACTCAACTTAAGTAATCGACACCATCCCTATGAAGGTTGCAATACCTTTTAGACAGTGTTGCAAGACTATGTAAATCAATTTAATTTTTTTAATTTTTTTTTTTCTAATTGAGGGTATTAAGCTTAGAATTTGCTTTGTTTATAAAACTAAGCAGAAACCTTCGGTTCTCTGAAAAGTGCACATATCCAGACCCCAAAATTAAACGGTGAGGTTTTGAAGCTTTTCTCAAGAACTCCTTTTGAACATCCCAAATTATGAAACATGGCAAACATCCCAAAAGCCAATCTTAAAACAAGGGGAAAAATACACTTTTTAATAACTGATTTCAGGAAATAAATATTTTTAAAACTTTTCTTTAAAATAAATGTATTTTATACAAGGACAGCCAAAGTATAACAAACAACCCTCCTCCTTCAGACAGATTCACAGAAACATTTACATTGTTTAAATTTTAATATAGTCTAAGGTGTAATTAATTGATAAAAGACAAAACAGATTGTTTTGCGTTGCCCTTCACATTTCAGAATATATGAAACTTGTATGTGATCTCCTGTGTAAACTGCATTCATACAACCTAAGTGTCCCGCTTGCGCAATAGAGGATGCAATGAAGTCACAAGCAAGCGTGCTCTGTGTTTACGGATGTAAACATGGATGGTAGTGCTGGAGAACATCTAGCGATCTTTCCCAACCCTAAAAACTCATCTTTCCATGATGGTTAAACAGAAATACTGCTCTCCACATTATCGTTCACCATTTTTATTGGTTTTCTTGCCACTTCTGTTCAGCAAGAAGCAGAAGAGTGACCACTGTCGGGTATTAATGACATTCAGGTCGGATTAATGCGACCTGGCTGTTCAGACACAGATCTCATTTGAAAAGATCAGATTCGTATCGGATTCAGGACCACATAGCCAAGCGGCCTGAGTCGCATTGGAAAAAATCAGATCTATGTTGTTTAGACTGCTATGAAAAGATCAGATCCAGGTCGCATAGGGGCCAAAAAATTGGATTTGGGTCACTTCAGGCTGCAGTGTGAACGTAGCCTCTGATTGGAGAAGAAAATACTCCAGTCTCTATGGATGGCTGAAAGGTTTCAATACAAATGCAGGCAAAATTTCAACATTGAAATGGTAGCATATAATCTACCATAGATTAGCCATAACTGTGATATTTTTAAACATTAATCTTTTCCTATATTTTTACACCAGTACACCCTCATCCTTATACCTTTAATCAATAAATGTGCCCTACCTTATGTTGGTCTGTCATAGGGGTGTGAGTCCCGTCTGCCATCCATCCTTTAATACACAGAATTTAATCAAATGGAAGAATTAAATTATTTGCCACTTCCTAAACAGCAGGCATGGTCCTGTAAAAAGCCTGATTGGCATAAATGTCTTAATATGCGTTTTTCTGTGCCCTTAACAGGAGTGCTGATGTACCGCGGTTTCCCTCTGGATCTCTTCATGGCCCAGTGTTATGCTAACGCCGATGACCTGGGCAAGGGCCGGCAGATGCCGGTTCACTATGGCTCCAAGGATCTGAATTTTGTCACCATCTCATCTCCTTTGGCCACCCAGATTCCTCAGGGTGAGACTGCATGTCTCCATTTGACCACTTTAATTAAGGAAGACGCTACTGTGACCAAAAGGAAAAAAAAAAGACTTTCAGTTTATACTCATGCTGCTATTTTTTTTCTCAGCGGTTGGAGCTGCATACGCACTGAAACGGGAGAACATGAACCGTGCTGTGATCTGTTACTTCGGAGAGGGAGCAGCCAGCGAAGGGGACGCACACGCCGGATTCAACTTCTCAGCCACTCTGGAGTGTCCTATGATATTCTTCTGTCGCAACAATGGCTACGCGATCTCTACACCGACCAACGAGCAGTACAGAGGAGATGGCATTGGTGAGGCAGAGGGGGGTTCATGCTGACAGCGATGGAAGGTCTGAATAGTTCGGTCTCACCTTTGATTCCCTCCAACAGCTGCTCGTGGTCCTGGTTATGGGATGCTGTCCATTCGCGTTGATGGGAACGACGTGTTTGCCGTATACAACGCTACAAAGGAAGCACGGCGCAGGGCTGTGGCTGAAAATCAACCTTTCCTCATTGAGGCGATGACCTACAGGTTAGTACCCACATGCAGAGCACCATATGGGCTTTTTCCAAACCCAGCCCATGTAATGTCTTTGGATTCAGTAAACGATCACAGCTTCTGTTGTTATTAGAGTTTAACGATTAGCAGCATCTGTTTGTACGGAAACTGAGGTGTGAAGGACAAAAATATAAGACTTGGATTAGCAACATATTAAGGATTAAAAAGATGAGTTAAACCAAATAAATCTCCCAAAATATTTAAAAAAAGAATTGACTTGCTGCATTAACTCATTCTGTCATTAAAAGCTTTGGTTACTCATAATATGATTGCAATTGTATTTCTGTATGTGATGACTCCACCTGACATACACACATGAAAACCAGAGGGCAGCAGATCATGTGAAAATATAATATTTGTGTCATTCTCAATACTTTAGGCCATGACTGTAGTTAATGATTATTTCAATAATCTATTAATCACAATTCATTGTTTCATCCCAAGATGAAATCATAGTCAAACTCTTGTCTTTGCACAAGAATGGCCAAAAAAAAAAAAAAAGTTCATAGAACTGCAGAAAGTTATTTGCAAATTAAAGATAATCAAATGAATGATTGTATGTAAATAAAATAGGTAGATCCTTCAAAATAACTAAAGGCAGCCATTATTGGACTCCCCGAAGCAAACATGTCCAAACTGTGCCCAAAGGATCAATGCTAACACACCTGAGACCCGTTAACACTAATTAGTCCTGAGACACCAGTGAGGGGAAAATGGATAATGGGATCAGGTTTGAGGGTTGACCTCATTATACAAGCTTTACACTGGCTGCTTTCCTTTAAATCAATGTGGCATTTCTCCAGTGTTGCTTCATGAAAATTTTTAGTAAAATATATGCTATAAATATGTGTGACGAGTTATTGTGAGAGACTGTAATGTTAACATCAAATTTAACTATAAGATTTTTTTAGAGGGCAGGCTAATGAAACTGGGTCATTCTACATTTTAAGGTGTGTCGCTGACGGACACAAACGTTGCTGGATCTGAATAGCAAATTCCTCTAAAGGAGAAACCCTTAAAGGTTTTATGTTTTTTTTTTTACATTAATTACTTTTTCCTCTAAAGTTTTAATAGGTTCCCTCCTTAGATAGTTGTGGTTTCAAATGACCTCTGAAGTTTCTTTAGAAAGATTTACTAGATGAAGCCTCTAAGGCTCCAAATAAGGTGCAGGATTAAGACAAAGGACACTTATATTGTAAGGTTAGTTGATGGGTGGATAATGATCTGATCCATGCAAATGTATTTAGGAACGACCTTATCAGGTTTCCTGATAAGGTCGTTGTTGTAGCAGGCATCTGACATCCTTTTTTCTGTGTTCCTTTTTTGTCAAAATGCTTTTGAAAACCCCCTTTTTCCTCCAGAACTTCTGTCTGAATATTAGCAAGAAAAATTTGTCTTTTTCTATTGATTTAGAGAAAACAAATATTTTTATATCTAAATTAGGGCTGGGCGATATGACCTCAAATCAATATCATGATAAATTGAGCTGCTTTACCTCGATAACGTGAATGCACCGACTCTTCTATCAGAAATGAAGGCATGTGCAGGAAATGCAACTGGTCTATTTATAGTTTATTTATTGAATAAATCACTTTAAATATTTTATGTAATTACATATTAAAGTCTTTTAACTATTCAGGTTTAAACTTTCAACAATGTCTCATTGAGCAGGAGAAAAATTTTAACTCTCTTGCAAACGTTTTTGTGCAAAGGTAATGGAGCCTTTTGCACGTCGGCTTTTCTATAGGTGATGAAGGTTGGATATGCAGTACCAACAGTTTTCAGACAAACTTTGCATTTCCGGTTCTTTTGCTCAAAACCTATGGCGTAATTTTATTGCCATTGAACTGAGTATGCACTGAGAACAATGTGCATTGTTTAAACTCGCACACCCTCAATAAAAACTTGTCTGTAGCCCGCTTAACTCTGACAACGTGCTCAGCTTCATCTCTGCTCTCGCTCAGCTCCACAGTATTAACCAAAGTAATTTTGCTTACTGCTGTGTTAGACGCTTCTTCACTTGGCTCATCCGCCATTCTCTTTGCTTACGCTTCTGACTGGATCGGTGGATTCGCATGATTAGACACCTGCTGCCACATCTTAAAGGGGAAGGAAATACCAGCCACCCTCGCACACAGGAAAAATGGCAGAATTATTTACCGGGAAAAAAAGTTGCTCGTTATCGTAGTGAATGACGGTAACAGTAAAAAACCGGTTTATCGCCCAGCCCTAAACTAAATATAAAACTACTAGAATGGAGGAAAACGGCACCATTATCCTCAAAGCACCATGTAGATCACTAATAACTAACAAAATTGATGCAAACTCTAGGATTGTTTCAATAGCATTCTAAATCCTTCCGATTTAGACAGTGTGCACACTTATACTGATAATTATATCAACTGTATGTACAACTCAAAATGGCCTGTACCTATATAGCCCCTTTTCAGGTCTTCACACTACATTACCTACAATCTATATACAGTAAAATCAGTTTTATATGGATGTTCAGTTTTTTAGATTGGGCAGCCCATTAGTTGCCATTTAGTAGCAAGCTAGTTAAACGTTCAAGGGTATGCTGATTAACCAAGGAAGGGAAGTTGGATTTGAATACCAAATTCTTGGGGAGGAAAGATCCTCACGTCATTTGTTTGAAGAAACTACTTTTACTTTCAAATGTAAAAAAGGGCAAACCTAAAACGTAATTGTGGACTCCCCTCAGAATCGGGCACCACAGCACAAGTGATGACAGCTCGGCCTACCGCTCTGTAGACGAGGTGAACTACTGGGACAAGCAGGACCACCCCATCTCACGGCTGAGGCACTACATGACGGCGCGCAGCTGGTGGAGCGAGGATGACGAGCGCAGCTGGAGGAAACAGTCTCGCAAAACCGTGATGGAGGCTTTCGAGAGAGCCGAGAGGCGCCTGAAGCCCAACCCGGAGCTGCTGTTCACCGACGTCTACCAGGAAATGATCCCCAGCCTGAGCAAGCAGAGGGAATCCCTCTTCAGGCACATCCAGCAGTATAAAGAGCACTACCCCCTCGACCTGTATGAAAAGTAACCACTGCTGTGGCAATGTTGAAGGGAACAAAGGTGGTGTGTGAGGACTGAACGTAGCTTTTATACACTTTGATGTGTTATTTCACTCTGCACAGATAATATCCGATGCTTCCATTACATGTTTTTTCTTTTTCCTTTTTATTCAGACAAGTCGGAATCATTTAAATAAAAATGCAAATAAAACAGGATGCCTTTGTGCTTTACCATAGAGCGGTTTCCTCGAGTTTGAATCAGGTCATCTGGATTCCTCAGATCAATCTGTAGTCTTTGTTTGTTTGTTGAGATGCTGTTACAACCTGTACTGTTTTGCTTCTGAGCTAAACATGATGTTTGGTGAAAATAAACTGTAGAACATTGGTTGTGTTAATTTTTTTATTATTATTAAAAATTACAACAAAAATAGGCAGGGTTAGAAAACATGTGTATTCAGCTTTGCTAGAAATTAGCTATGCAGTTCATCAGCAAAAACGGCAACTGGTTATTCAATCTGTAGAAACTCAGAATCCATGCAGGCCTCGTTGCTCTTTACCCATCAGTTCAACACGTCAGCTTTGGATGGTGGATGCCCTTCCACATTCTCTCGATCTCCCTCGGGGAGCGCTGGTGGATCAGAAGATTGCCCTTGTGTACGCATATATTCTCACGATCTTCTTTCCTAACATCAAAGGTCTGAAACCTTTCATTCCCCTCTGCGACAACTCCCAGAGCCTTCATGCACAGGCCCATATACACGTCATCAATGGGGAACAGAGGAAACAACTTTGAGACGAAAGAAAGAGACGGCATCAAGTCACCTGAGATCACAAACCCACCTCCACCAGCGTAGGCGGGGTAGGGGCCGCTGAAGAAGGACAGAGGGATGTAGTATTTGCTTCTAGGGTCCCTGAGGGGACTAGCTGTGGTCAGGACATGTCCAGTGTACAGCCGAGATGCTTTAGAGGCGTCTAGAGATACCAGGTAATCGATCAGTCCATCGGTGTTGACAAAAACATCATCATCCCCACTGAAGACAAAGGACACCTGGGGACAGTTTCTCACAGTCCACTGGAGGAACATGTCCATCTTGAGAGTCAGGTTCAGGAGGGACTCCTGGAAGTCCCACTGCACGATGTCTTTAAAGTGTTTGGCCTCAAATGACAGCAATGTGCCAACGTCGGGGTCATCTGGAGGTTGGTTGCCAAGGAAGAACACCAAACGGACCCTCCGTCCGTTCATATACACCCCCTCTCGCCCCCATGTCTCCCGCACCGCTTGCCTCCTCTCAAAATTTGCTGGGGAGGACTTGATGGCGAACAGCAGGTAGGTGTGGTTGCTGCACTTGGCGGGCTGATTGATCAAGATCGGAGGAGCTCTGCAGTTCATGCCCATCAGGAATGTCTGAATCAGCCCCGGATAGGAGTGAAAGTCATGGATGTTTAGTCGCAGCAGATCCTGATTCTCTTCCCTGCAGACAGACCAGGGGTGCTCTTTTCTCGAAGAGTTGCTGGCGTTCAAATCCTTCACTGCAGAGTAGAACAGACGGTTCCAGTACGCGGTGTCCTGAGGGATGAGCTTCATCAGGTCGTCAGAAGCCACGGTAATGTGAATGTTCAGAGGGGCAGATGTGAAGTACAGCTGCTTTGAGGAGTTAATCACCTGGTTGGTATTGGTCATCTCTAGATTTACCGTTAGGTAAAAGAAGAGCAGAAATGTAATGGCAAGAGCCATGGTATAGAAGATTGTATTACACCTCATTAGTTCAGGGAATTTAAACAAAGCTTTAGGGGGGGGGTTCTAGATCACAGGTTGGGTGCCAGGAGGTGATAGTCTGGATGCTCCTGCAGAACAGAAAAGTCCTGCATCAAATCAGGGAACCTGGATGTGAAGAGAAGGTATAAACATAAATATAACCATCTTCAGACTCCTATTAACAAGCAGCTAATATCTCTACATTTATTTTAGAATCTACAACAAAAAAGGGCTTCATGCTCATGAACCTGTGTGGATGAATCAAATGTGCCACAACTGTTAAAACAATGGCTGATTGAGCTCAGATCCTTTACTAAAACTAACCATTACTGAACATTTAGCTGTTTGTTATTGAGTTTAAAAACATAAAGAAACTGGCAATTTATTGATTGGGAAATACTCATGATCAGTATTTCATTAATCCACCAGTTATAGTAGCAGGTCAGCCACTGTGTTTGGATTTCTAACTCTGGTTGTTAAGGTATATTCCTTCAATGTCAGAAGAGGCTTGAATTTGTTGACCCCTATAACCAGTTTTATCTTTCACCTTTGCAGTATATTTGAAATGAAGGTGTGTCCCTTTAGACTGTAGCTTCATTTAAACAGGATTGGTTATTATCAGGGGTTGACAACCTTAGCTGTACTATATGATAAACTATTTCCCTGTTTTATTTTTTTCTTTTGTTCTCCAGGTTAATTTGTTCTAGAATCACCACTGCTGAAGAGGTAAAATATTACCTGGATGAAACATTTAACTTGGCTTCATGCCCGAAGAAAAGCAAACAGGTTATTTTAAAGAAACTAGTCAGTCTAGATCTAGTAGATTCAAAAGGGAAAGCCTTATAGGTAACTTTAAGATTATAAATTGTACACATTCTTTATCATATAACTGAAAATGTACATTAAAATTAACTAAGATTGAGAAATGTTCAACCCTACATGTCCAGACATGCTTTTCTTTAAAGAAAATGTATATATTTGCAGAGCTTTAACTGTAAACTTTTAGTGCAGTAAAGCATTAACCATCTACTTATGTTACTGGTTGTTTAAGACCCTAAATAACCTCTGGGGGGAAGAAAGAAAACAGCTCTCTGGTGGCTAATTAGAAACAAACCAACAGAACACAGAGGAACTGCAGATAGAAATCCCAAAGTACCTGCCTGCAGCAGTGAAAAACGTTGGAACATTACCTGTTCTCCTCAGAACTTAAAAAATATCTGATTTACTATAAATTCTACAGCCAAATCATCACAAAGACTTATTGGCTGTGAAATGAAACAAATTCTAAAAGAAATATCTAAAAAAAAAAAAAAAAAAAAAAAAAAGACGGCTACTTACGATAGACATGAAGCCACCGGTACAGAAAAGAACCAAATTAGTTCTCCCTGTGATCGTGGTCTGTTCCTCGACATAGGGTTTTGCCCAGCTCATATTTCCAGTTTAACCACTGATGCTGCACCTTCTTCCACCTTATCGTAAAATGAAAGCCAGTTGAGCCGGTGCAGAATAAGCTTTAGGTTGAAACCACGCCCACAACACTGCTGCAGGTACACTCAGGTTTATTTAACAGGAAACAGACAAGCTTTTTAAGACCAAATGTTTCACAGGATCATCAGGAGGAGACGGCAGCACAGTGTCCGGATCTATAAAGCTTTTTTTTTTTCTTCTTTTAAATGTATTGCACCTCCAGCAGGCCATAAAAACAGATTCTTATCAGCCTGGTTACAAACGTGTTAAAAAACAAAAGTAAAACCATTCTTACACGGTAGAAAACTGCTTACTAAATCCACGAGTCGTTCCAAACCATGACTTCAAAGATCACTGCTTGTTTTCTTTTATCTTATCAGGAAACATATATGCAAAGTCACTGTTAATTATTCTACGAAGCATAATCACTACTGAATTCTAGCCAAATCCTGTCGTTCACAACCTGAGAGCAGCTTAAGGCAGAGGAGGGTTTAATTACTGTGGGAAAAACCTCGGACTCTTCAATCAGATCCTTTCTAATTAGACGTGCCTAAAGAGGACCTGCGGCGCTCCATTCAACAATGAAAACATCCAAATGTTACAGGTTCAGGCAGGCAACGCATTTCAGTTCCTTTAGTTTATTCTGGACAAATGAATCAAACTGTTAGCCTAGTTATCATTCTCTCATCCATCACAGTGAAAATAAAATTAAATCTTTATCATACAAGTGTGCTGGTATTATCATCATTCGGTATTGCATCCCAATTGTGAATATTCGGACCAGAACCAGGCCGACACCTGTTACAAAGTAAGTGTATAACTGATTCACTGGGTGCAAAGGAGCACTCAGGGAGATAGTGTTCATACGAATGATATAAAGACTTTTCTAAGGGAAATAAAAGGCAACAAAGACATATAGCGGAACAGCAGAAAACAGAGTACAACAGATCATAAAATGATGAATGCAGCGGGAACATGAGAGCCAGCTTGAAGGCAAAAATGAGGATGTAAGCTGTTTGCTGGAGGCTAGGAGTTGAATCAGCGGAGGTCGCTCTCGTCGTCCTGTATGGTCTTCTTGATGCGTAGGAGCATGGTGGTGAGCCACTGGTCCAAACGGGAGATGGTGTCGAACTCCTTCACCTGGAAATATTCCCAGAAAAACAAATAATCACATATGTTGATGAAAACAAAGGATCCTTGTTGAGCCCACACTGTTTTGTTAGGAAACAAACATGGGATGCATGAGGAAGTGAAATCCGAAACGTTCATGATGCTTTTGTTCACTCTAGTCAGTCATTTTAGAGCGTTTATGAACTAGTTCTATGATTATGTTGGTTAATGAAATTATCCATTTCAATTACAGTTAAATATTTATATAGATCATTAAATCTATGACTAATTATTCTGAGTAAATACAAACTGTCAACTGATGAGCTCATTCATAGTTTGAACGATGGCATCCAGACCAACAGGCCAACCCGATGTGACAATAATTCCCATGGCGCCTAAAAACTGGTTGAGTCGCCTTTAGCAAATACCAACAATTTTTTTCTTTGTTTATCTTTTGATATCACCCAGGCATTTTTAAACTATCTCACTGCCACCATTTTGATTGTTTTTTTCCCCTTCTGAAAAACAGCTGAAACACTATTGATCATATCAGACCTCAGGAAATGTTCCTTATCTTGAAGATCATTGTGTTTCAGCTAATATGAGGCACTTGTGTTCCTGTTCCTGTCAATAGTGATTTTGTACTTGGATTTCTATTATGGACGCGATGTTTACACATTTAACACTAAGCTTGCATAAGGTTAGTCGGCAGCTCTCTAAATGTTGTTCTAGGTTCTTTTGTGACGGATTATGGCTCCAAAATCCTCAGAAATGCATCTATAGTACTTTTCTACAGAGGAGGATTAGGACAGTTGAATAAAAGTATAAGTCCACTTAAAAATAACTATTTTTCTTGGAAGACTGGGATTAAATTAAGGATTTCTGTTTCACCTTGAATGTATTTTCACAAACAGTCTGAATAAACCATATCCTACGGCAAGCTGTTGTCATACAGTATAGGAAAGTTCTTTGGTGTGACTACAATGCCTTCCTGCAGACACACACCCAGAGTTTCAGAGCAGATAAATCTGCTGTTTGTCCATTAATATTTAGACCTAGTTGCACATCCTCAGTGCTTTTAATCATTTAAATTTGGGTGGCTGATTAATAAAACATTTATATGGTTCAACAACCTCAGAACACACGTTTATTGCTACTTTGCAATGTTTCCACACCTCTTACTGTAGATTTTATCAAATGTTGTTGCTAGGAGCAACACACTGCAGGCTGTTTACTCACCGCATCAGTGTAGGCTTCCACGTTCTGTTCTTCATATGCATCTAGAAGTTTCTGTTGGGACAAAATAATTGAAATACGGACTAAATAAAACTGCACTGGTAACTTCAGGCTTAAATTAATTGCATCTGATTCCAGCAGATTTTAATTCTAGTGTAGATATCAGCCTTCTCTTAATAACAAACAGATTTTTTCTCTACTGTTTAATAACGTTAAGCAGTAAAGTTGGAGAGAAAAGTTTCTTCAGGAATGGGACTGGTGCTTTAGTTAAACGGACAGGAGCCAGCAGCGCTCATGTTGAAGTCCTCTGAACTTGGATTAAACCTCTTTATTCCAGGAATTATTTCAAGTAAAACGTGTCAGGAAGCTTCTCTGTTGGCACAAAATAGAACAAATTTTCCCATTCAGCTTATTTTTTCTGGAAAAATTGTTGTTTTTAATCTTCCAAATATTTAAAAGAAGGATTTATAAGGGAAAATAACACAGGTCCACTGCTGTGTGTCCTTCAATGTCCTCTTCTTCCTCCAGGAAACTGCACTGGTGGCTTAGTGGTTAGACCCTTAATCCCTGATTGCTCCCCAGGCGCTGCACGGTGGCAGCCCACTGCTCCCCAAGCAGATGGGTTAAGATGCAGAATTGAATTTCTCCCTTGCGAGATCAATAAAGTTCAATTACTTTATTAATTATTATTATCATTATTATATGACCCTAAAACAATCCTGGATCAGAGGTGACCTTGGTTCCTGCTGGAATCTTCTGAGTCATTTTTTCCTTGCAGCTTCACCTCTCACCTTGAAATTCTTGATGATCCAGAAAAAACACGTTCTTTCTGCTGTAGTTTTCCGGTGACAATGTTTTCTTTTGTGTTTTGGCTCTGAAGCCTATTGGGTAACCGAGGCAGATTTTCCTTGACTGATGAGGTGTGTTTGTGTGACATTTAAAGCGTTGACAGACGGCTGAATTTTTAGCCGATATAGAAAATGGTTTGAGTAGAACTAAAAAATATGACACAGCAGCAAACTGAAATTAAAAAAAGATTGTGTCAAAGGAGAACATGCACCCTTCGTATCCCAACCCTCCCCTTAACTCGCTTTGACTTTCTCCTTCATTCAAACCACCATTATACTGAGTTTATTTTCCTAATGACAGAATTATGGAGTTAAGGACTCTAACAAAGTGAGGTCATTATAACCACTCGGCCTGCTTTATATTTATCATCCATTTGATGACATCACAGACCAAATAAAGTACCAAGACATTAAAAACCTGACTGCATTAAAAAACTAGATTTCCGAAACTGAATTTCCCTTTGAATTTCTCTTCGTCCTCTGGCATGGGAGCTGCCTTGGAGCTCGTCTGCCTGGCTGTGTGTTTCCTGGACGGGGCCGCCTTTTACAGCTGCTTTTTGTATCTCTGCTTCTGTCTCCTTGAACCCCAGTCGGCCTCGGCAGATGGCCGCTCACACTGAGCCTGGTTCTGCTGGAGGTTTCTTCCTGTTAAAAGGGAGTTTTTCCTCTCCACTGTTGCTACAAGCATGCTTAGTGTGGGAGATTGTATTTGAGTCAATGAGTCAATGCAATCAACTGGTTTTCCTTAGATAGAAAACTTTGCATCAATTTGACTGTATGATCTGGTTGAACTGTAAAGTGCCTTGAGATGACATGTGTTGTGAATTTGGCGCTATATAAATAAACTGAATTGAATTGAATTGAATTTGTGGTTATTAAAGTATGAATCCTCGAACCATCTGCAACTTTGTAAGATGAACCAAAAAATGTGAACTCCATGTTAGGATCCTGGTGAGATATCAGTGAATGGCCATCTGAAGCTCATCCTAAAACAACAGACACATTAAAACATTAATGTCTGTCTATGGTGTGATACTGCGGCTGATTGTGTCTCCAACAGAGACGTTTGCTACCTGTGGCTCTTTGGGCCTGAATGGCTTCAATGCAGGAATTTCTATTAATATTAAGGTAACTCTTTTTGTTATCTGATGGAAAACTAAATCCCTATTTGTCTTTATTTTTTTTTTCAAACATGATATTCAAGAATTAAGAAAACATATTGAGATGCATATATTCAAAGTTTCTATCTTAGTTGATAACACGCTGCTATCATTTAGCACATCTCTAATGTCGCTGCTATTTTCAAATATCCATTACTGTAAAAATGTCCACAGCTGTGTTTTTTTTTTAATTCTCCATATGCTCAGTTTTTATATTGTTAAAACATTTTACAGAACAGTATTTTTTTTGTGTCTTTTAACTCTTCACTATTATGTTATTGTTATAAATTTTTTCTAATGTCCACATTTGTGTGAAAATTTTTTCTATAATCTTTTTGCTGCCGCAACACCAGAATTTCCCCATTGTGGGACAATAAAGGGATTTTCTATTCTTGTCTATTCTATTCTAGATTTTTTTGCAAGTACTTTAATACCTTTTTTCTTCTAAAACCTTCAAGAAAAACAAAACAAAGCTTTAATTCTTCAATGTTCCAAAAATGAAATTTGATGAATTATCTTTACAAGTTGCGCAGATTTAATAGCTCTAAAAGCAATTTCACCAAGTATGATCAAGGGCAAAAATGCCTTTGGATTATGTCACCTAATGATTGCTGGTCTAACGGGAAGTGCTTCGCGAAAAAAGGAAACTTGCATGCAAGATTTTCAA